GCGAATTTGCACTCTTGTCCGCGCGAACAGTATCCACGCGCGAAGTCCCTGCACGCATCAATCGCAGGAGCGCCAGGCGACGTAGACCTGGGCCTCCTTGGGGGCTCGCCCCTAGGGCTAGGCGTACGCCGCTTGTCCTGCTCCCGATTCCTGGGAGAGTACCTATCCCTTCGATGAGGACTTGGGGTATTACCGGTCCTCTTCCTCGGATCACTAGGAGGCCGATTAGGCCTATGGGAATCTCCAAACGGAGATCGTCTCCTAACGGGAGGACCAGGAGCACCAGGCTTCTGGGCCCTGTCCCTGGACTGAGATCGTTCGTAAAAGTCTTTGTGCATATTGACCTGATTCTTACGAGCCCTTTAGCGGTCAATTTCGTTCTTGCAACGAGCACGAAGCCATTCATAGCTACAAACATCAGGGTTGGATATGTTCCTATCCCATTCCCTGATATCATGAGCCAAACAGTTGAGGTGTCTAACCTTCTCACTGAATAGCGACCGCTTTACCTGCTCGGTCAGCGGTTCATCGAGACCCGCAAGGATATGATCCCACTTCGCGATGAACCTTTCAAGTCGCTCCTCTTCAGTATAGAAAGATGACACTCTGCGTCGCAAGTTCGAGAGCTCGATTATCCTAAATGATTGCTCTCCGATATTTGCAGTCCTCAAGTGGTCGTATAAGAGCCACAGGATCTGCCTACTCTTGATGCGATTGTTGGAGCGTTGAGCGGCTTCGGTGAGACGATTAATCTTATCGATAATTGCAACAGTCTTGATGCACTTCCGAATGGCTGCATTGAACCTGGCTTCAAGGATGTGGTATTTACATTCCCCATCCAGTTCATCAAAGGTCTTTGCCTTCTCGACTTCAGTTAGCCAATTCATGACGTACAGTCCATCATAGCTGTAGGCATTGCTAACAGCTTCCTTCATATTGGCTATCCATACCCTCAGCCCAGCCGCGTCGGGCTCTGGCGGGAGGTCTATGGGAATGCACTTAGTCGCAGCTGTACAGTTCGGATCATGGTGGCTACCGTACCCGCCGCCACTAGTTCCGAAAAGATGCTGTGGAACCTGAGAACTACCGATTGACAATGCACATACAGGACAAAGGCGAGTAGCCTTCGGAATGCAAATTTCACATGCCCTTTTCATGCATATCTTACATTCTTCAATTTTGCCGGGATCAGGAATATCCCGATCACACATCCGACATTTCTTGTCAGGAGGATCGGGGCCACGCATGGTCGGCGGCTCAAGGCCCGAGGGATCCTTTGGTCTTGTACCGTTGGGATCAAATCCTGGATAATATCCGGTTTCACGTTTGTCCAGGGGTACGGGTTGCGTAGCCTTCGGAGGACTCTGAAGGTCAGCCGCGTTGGGTTGACCCCCAGTTGGAGTGTCACGGAATCTGTCAACGGGTGGCCGCAGAGGCGGCGAGTACGACCGTGTCGGGTTCGTCTCAGGTACGCCTCCAGGCGATCTATTCCTGACACGGTTACCCTCGGGATCCCTTCTTCTCCTAGTCTCGTCCCTAAGGCACGCAAGACAACAGGGACCTTGGACAAATCCAAATCTCCTGTAGTCATCCTGCCCAGCAGAATGTCTGGTGCAGTAGTAGGTCTTACAAAACTGACACTCAATTCCCTTTGTCAGGAACGAGCTCTCCCTACAGACTCCGCATCGGGGTCCGTTACGGGAACACTCTTCACACAGGTTCTCTTTAAACGAGAAACAATACTCACAAATATCACCTCTGCATCCCTTGCAGTGAAACTCAGCCATGAGATGATTATATCCATCACCTACATATTTACATCTGGGTTTACCAGGGTTGCCAGGGTTCCCACCGGCAGCACTCTTCTTCCCCCCTCCTCCTGGGCTTTGCCAATCTGGAGGAGGAGGTGGTGGAGGATCACCATCAGGAGGGCCAGGTGGAGGTGGCCGCTTATCCGGAGTACGGGACGCGGCTCGCCTTCCTCCTGTGTGATCGTTCAATCCACTACTTGAGGCCTGGTTCGAGTGCCTTGACTCGATGGAGTTAATTCTCTGGGCCGTATTACCCAGCACCTCGAGCATTTGCTCGAGCTTACTGTTGAGCGTAGTCGAAACGGCCATGTTATGAGTATTTTGCTTGTCCGTGTAGGATTTGCAGTCCCTTGACTTCATCTCAAGGTTGGCTTGTGTCTCATAAAGTTGGTCTTTAACCCACTTTATGCCGTCCCTATTATTGGTCCAGCGTTGTTCGACATCTTGCATCATCCTATCAATCTGACATACCCTAGTGGACAGGTCCTCGATTTTGAGGTTTACTCCACCAATCGCAGGATGGTTGGATTGGCTCTCCACTAGAGATCTCTCGATCATATCAACACGAGCTATAAGCCCGGTTACTCGATCAGAAAGAGATTCAAAAACAGTTTGAACCTGGGTGATGGAGCGAGCAACATCATCATAGCTGGCTCGCTCATTTAGGGCATCGCCTATGCTTATCATGCGATTGGAAACGATCTTGACGCGTTGGCCAAGCTCGGTCACGATGTCCTTAGTCCCTTGTGATAGCTGCATGGCCGCGTTCGCAGCCTGCGTACACGTGCTACTCACATGGGCGCATTGTTCGTATTTGGCCCTCCACGAGTTAACCTCAGTGGAGAGCTGTTTGACGCATTGATCACTTCTATCATTCCTACGCCCAAGGTCTTCGACCTTTGCAACCAGGCGATGAAGGATCGCACTTACCGAAGAATCCACTCTCCCTCTTTCAAGGGCTGTTACAAGATCAGCAACCTCGTTGGGTTGCTCCTCACTCGCAGGACCAAATCCTGATCCGCGATTTCGAGGAGTGGACAAATCAACCATGATTGGATTAGATCTCGGAGGAGTTCTGAAATCATCCTGGACGGCCGTTGATGGCCGTGGGAACTCACTCCGATTAGGAGATTGACTCTGATACGGAGCAGATCTCCTAGCATCACGAACCGCAGAGGGTTGTGTCATGCCCAGGCCTTTGGCCACGGACAGTTTGGGAACAACAGGCCTATCCGTTCGCATAGGAACATCAGGTCTCGAGTCAGCAATAACAATGTCATTCAAGTCGGTCGCATTGGACACTCTAGACCCAGACATCGATTCAATATCAGTCGCATTACTGATGGTATGATTGCGACTAGAACTTGATGCCATCATGGACTCAGATTCTATTGGAACATTAGCTCCGTCCATGTTCTCCAGGGCGAAAATGGAAGCCGCGTTGGGCGTAGGGCGAACGCCTTGCGCGTTCGAGCCACTTGACCTATTAAATTCCTCCTGGAATGCTTCGATCCCATCAAGCACGTTAACGAGTGTGTCCGCGTTTAACGGGTCTCTACCTATGATTGACGCTGGATCACCTGATCGACCGCGTCCTGAGTCCCGCGCACTGGGGTTACCCCTGTGGGCAGTTTCCCGATCCATCCCCCTTGCCCTATGCGATCCAGTCGAATTTGACCTTGATCGTTTGCTTGGAGTTGGACTAGGATGCAAATCCAATCTATCTACGATATTACGCTCCCTAGGGCTCTCAAATCCTGAAAGTCCTGGGGGAGGGGACATGTTCCTCATGGTCGGGTTTACCGACGGCCTTGGCCTGACGTTACGGCTGGCCACGTCAGGATTGAGATTCTCAATCGACAAAGGTAGCATGAATTCATCGCTTCCAGCAGCCCGTTTTGGGCTTTGGAATTGCGGGAAAGATGACGGGGCGGGTGGCCCTGGCATCCATGCGGCAAAATCCATACCAAAAATGTTTCCGTCGTTGGGCCATGAGGCTCTCCAATCGAGCCCACCGGATTCGGTCGGCAGATGAACATCAAATGCAACTCCATTGGATGTACCAGGTTCGGGATTACCGAGCACTTGAAAAGCTATGCTACTGGTTGGCACAGGTCTACTGCTACTTCGAGAGTCACGAAACTCGGACTGACCAATATTCATCAGCTCCGGGAAAGATGAGGATTGAGCTCCAGGTGCAATACCGGGCTCGTCATCATCACGTCCTGAGACGGAATCATCATGGTCAGGACGATTAGCCCCATGACCCTGAGAGCGATTAGCTCTTGAGGCATTAGACGATAGGTCATCAGTGCGAGTAGCACTGGACCTTCCTGAAGGCATTGCTTCTGAAAAAGTGTGGTCCGACAAAAAGTCAGGACCGGAAAACATCGGCTGTCCGGGCACTTGGTCGTCATTCACAACGTCCAAGATTCCGGCCTGGCCGAGAACCCATTCATCGGTCACCACATGAGGTCCATCCTCAGTGATTCCCGCCATACTATTTACACTACCCTACGATGCCTGCAGGGTTGTTAAAAGGGGTTCGCGGTGCCAACCGAGGACGAATCCTACGGCTGATAACCTGCGAAAGGGTTTGAAACAGAGTTTCGGGATGGATAAAACAGGCCCTAACCCACCAACAAGAAGAGACCACCTTATCCCCCCGGTCCCAAGGGCAAAGCAGTTGCCCCCGGCCGGCACTAACACGAACCAAAAGGGGTGCCTCGGTTGTAACAAGAAGAAACCAAGCAGCAGCGCAGCAAAGCGCAGGGCAAGCAAGCAAACCAGCAGCAAGCAGCACCAAGCGAGCAAAGCGAGCAATAGCAGCGCACTCCAAACAACAGCCCGACCCACCTCCGGGGCGAAAACCACCGCCCCAGCAACGACGGCCGCAACGTCGTGCGGCCGGCGTGTAGGGCGCCGCGGACTTTTCCCCGACGAGACAGCAGGCTATGTTCGCCGAATGCAAAAGCTTGAGCCAAAAGCCGCGTTGGGCTTCGGCATGAAACATGCTATGATAAAAGTACATGCCCCCAAAAACACCTTTGAAGCCACCCCAAACAGGGTCCACTTCAAAATGACATCCCCCACGGGCCATTGAGTTGCCCCGTCCTGTGCGCGCAAAGCGTCCCAAAGGCGACACTTCCGTCCGCAATGAGTCTACACCAAAGGTTCGCAATGGCTTCTCTATAGACCCGCGCTGACCAGGCTGGCCCAAGAATGGTCCCTCTGCCAGGCATATGTACTCCTGGCAAGATCTGCATGCACAACCGCCATGTTGGGGAGAGATGTTCAAAACTTCCAGACCCGTTCTGCAGCATCTTGTGTTGTGCCTGATGTCCGCATCATGCCGATCTTTGGACGGTACACAGCACACAGCTGGGTTTGTCTCAAAAAATAGGGGGGGCCCAACAAATTAGAGGGGAGAGTTCCTTTTGGTTTCTGAAACCGAGCCCAGAAAGGGTCGCAGGGTCGCCTCGAAGCCAACTTGACGCAGCCAGTCCTTCCGCACGAGCTTTGCAGCGAACTGCGCTTGAAGCCAATGGCACTGGATCGAGTTTTCCGGCCCCGTGGCAATGGGTAGCACTCCGGAGGTGGGATAGTCAAGCCTGCGAAACAGCAACGCACATCGAGGCCAAAGCTGGTCCTAGGGATAAGAGACAAGTTTCAAGGTAAGCCAATATGGGTTTTTTACTTGGACCACCCAGCTT